CGTCGTCATCATGTTTCTCTCTTTTCAATGGTGCTTAGATCTTGAAAGTTCTGAAGCTTATCAATATATGCTATTGAAAATAATCTGATTGTTTTCAAAATTCAGGGCTTACTATGCAAGAAAAAGTAGCCATGATAGGTATTTCGAAGGAGTAAATTAGCCTTGATAACCTTTTTTTGGAGAAAAAAACTTCAGGATTCTTTTTTTAGGAGAAATCTTGATCCACTCCTTCTTGCAACCTGTATCCATTTATTTGCAAATTATCCATGCTCTCTCCCTATCGTGTTGCTGAACTCCATGCTTTGAATCCTATGAATCAATGTTCACTGCAAGTACGCTCATCAACTGTATATTCCCTAAAGTATGCTCATAATTCGCGGAACGGTAACTCTTTGCTAATCCGCCAAAAAAGACTAATATACTCTTCGTCATAATATTTTTTTGAAGCGCCGAACGAAAACTACTAGAAGCTTTCTATATAGCTTGTCGAGACAATTTTCATGGTAAAAGTTAACCATCGCCTTGGACTTCTACTGAACTATCTCCATGGCTAGTTCCCTTCTATGCAACTGCAACTAATTCGTAGGCATCTGTCTCATTTTTTAAGGCTAAACCATCATAATAGTATTTACTCTCAAAAAATTAACCATACCTCTTTAAATGCAGCTCTTGCAGAGTAATTGTCACCGACTCAACGCGCAAGTATTAGAATTGTTGGCCAAAACTTTGATTATCATTGAAATTTGTTTTTGAAAAGAATAACATTTTGCCATGAGAAGAACGCTGTGATGACATTCAAAATATAGTGAAGCATAGAGCTGAGCTCATTACTTTCTCCTAATGTTTTGGATATTAGTTTGAAAACATTCTAATGTGATCTTTGCCACCCTCAAATCATGACAAAAGCGCTATAGGCGGCGAATAGCTATACGAATTTAATTACCTTTTTTGAAACTCGCAAGCAAACGTCTTTGTCTCCGATTTCCGATTTTATGTTTGTAATAGAACGATTTGTGTTTTCGTTGGCTGACGAGAGAATAAGAGGCTTATGCCTTCGGATTCCGTCTTTTCTTTTCAAATCTTGGTCTTGCTTAAGTCTGCTGGATTTGCATGTCTATTTAGCTTTTCTTATTTGCTCTCACCTCTTCTTTGTTTCATTAATATCATCATGTAAGGATGTCATAAATAGGATTTTTTATAGATGCACTACTTGATTTATTTCAATCGCACAGACGCTGAATTTTATGGATATTGGAATATCATAAGAATATTTGTAATCGTGGAAATCGTTTTACAAATCATAAGGTGAGCTGATAAAGTACTAAAGATGTATGATTTCCAGCACTACAATAGCTTACTTTTAGCCACTTTTGTTACATGTTGGTATTGTACTTGAAGTTGAACACAATGTGGCATCAGACGAATATGCGAAATTTATGGGCATTAAGCAGTATACAGTATTTAGTAAATACACTAGCTGGTGCTGTTCAAGCCGCAC